TTTGTGTCTTACCTACCAACCTGTCGGTATTTTATAACCATTTTGATGTTCATCTTGTCAGACCTGCAACACATGGCCTCTTGGTACAGAAACACCTTGGGCAACCCTCAAGTAGAACTGTTGAATCTGAGAGGACCTGACCTATCAGTGGCTACATTCTCACTACTACTACTACTAAATAGCACCTTCCTTCCGACGTATTTAGTCTCCGCACTGTCGCTTGATCTTCAGATAGTTCCGACTATGGAACTGAAACTCTCCAGGCTGAGGGACTGACAACCTCAAATTCTACGACTTCAAGGGGGATGGACTGATTACATCGTCTTCACATCTCTACTGTTCCTGCCTACTTTCTGTATTCGACTGAAGAAGCCTACTGTGTAGGCGAAACGTTTCGGAATAAAGTTGCCTAACTGTTGCCTTTTTGTCTTACCTACCAACCTGTCGGTATTTTATACCATTTTGATGTTCATCTTGTCAGACACTGCAACACCTGGCCTCTTGGTACAGAAAACACCTTGGACAAAAACCCTTTCAAGTGAGAACTGTTGAATCTGAGAGGGACCTGACCTATCATGGCTACATTCTCACTACTACACACTACTATGCACCTCTCCTTCCGACAGTATTTAAGTCTCCCCCACTGTCCCCTGATCTTCAGATAGTTCCTGACTATGGAACTGAACTCTCCAGGCTGAGGGACTGACAACCTCAAATTTCTACGACTTCAAGGTGATGGACTGATTACATCGCTTCACATCTCTACGTTCCTGCCTACTTTCTGTATTCGACTGAAGAAGCCTACTGTGTAGGCGAAACGTTTCGGAATAAAGTTGCCTAACTGTTGCCTTTGTGTCTTACCTACCAACCTGTCGGGATTTTATACCATTTTGATGTTCATCTTTTTCAGACACTGCAACACATGGCCTCTTGGTACAGAAAACACCTTGGACAACCCTTTCAAGTGAGAACTGTTGAATCTGAGAGGGACCTGACCTATCAGTGGCTACATTCTCACACTACTACTACTACTATGCACCTCCCCCTTCCGACAAAATATTTAAGTCTCCGCACTGTCGCTTGATCTTCAGATAGTTCCTGACTATGGAACTGAACTCTCCAGGCTGGGGACTTTACAACCTCAAATTCTAAAGACTTCAAGGGTGATGGACTGATTACATCGTCTTCACATCTCTACTGTTCCTGCCTACTTTCTGTATTCCCACTGAAGAAGCCCACTGTGTAGGCGAAACGTTTCGGAATAAAATTGCCTAACTGTTGCCTTTGTGCTTACCACCCAAACCCGTCGGTATTTTATAACCCTTTTTTATGTTCATCTTGTCAGACACTGCAACACATGGCCTCTTGGTACAGAAAACACCTTGGACACCCTTTCAAGTGAGAACTGTTGAAATCGAGAGGGACCTGACCTATCAGTGGCTCATTCTCACTAACTATACTACATGCACCTCCCTCCGACAGTATTTAATTCCCGCACTGTCGCTGATCTCAGATAGTTCCGACTAAGGAACTAACCTCCAGTGAGGGATGAAACCCAAATTCTAGACTTAAGGGTATGGACTGATTACATGTCTTACACTCTACTGTCCTGCCTACTTTCTGTATTCGCGAAGAATCCTACGTGTTTGGCGAAACGTTTCGGGAAAAAAGTTGAATAACTGTTGCCTTTGTGTCTTACCTACATACCTGTCGGTATTTTTACCTTTGATTTCAATCTTGTCAGACACTGCAACACATGCCTTTTTGGTACAGAAAACACCCTTTACAACCCTTTCAAGGAAACTGTTGGGAAATTTAGAGGACCTGACCTATCTGGCTTTCATTCTCACTATACTATACTACTATGCACCTCTCCTTCCGCAGTATTTTAAGTCTCCGCACTGTCGCTTGATCTTCAGATAGTTTTGACAATGGAACTGAAATCCTCAGGCTGAGGCTGACAAACCCTCAATTCTACCCACTTCAAGGTGATGGACTGATGACAAACGTCTTCACACTCTACTGTTCCTGCCTACTTTCTGTATTCGACTGAAAGCCTAAATTTAGGCGAAAAGTTTCGGAATAAAGTTGCCTAACTGTTCCTTTGTTCTTACCTACCCAACCTTCGGAATTTAACCATTTTGATGTTTATCTTGTCAGACACTGCACACATGGCCTCTTGTACAGAAAACACCTTGGACAACCTTTCAGTGAGAAAATGTTAATCTGGAGGGACCCGACCTATCAGTTCTACATTCTCACTACTACTACTACTACTTATGCACCTCTCCCTTTCCCACAGTTTTAAGTCTCCGCACTGTCGCTGATCTTTTGATAGTTTCCTGACATGGAATGAACTCTCCAGGCTGAGGGGCTGACAAACCCCAAATCTACGACTTCAAGGATGGATGATTACATCGTCTTCACTCTCTACTGTTCCTGCCTTTTGTATCGACTGAAGAACCTATGGTAGCGAAACTTTCGAATAAAGTTGCCTAAATGTTGCCTTTGGTCTACCTACCCAAACCGTCGGTATTTTAACCAATTTGATGTTCATCTGTCAGACACTGCAACACTGGCTCTTGGTACAGAAACACCTTGGACAAACCCTTTCAGTGAGAACTGTTTAATCTGAGAGGGACCTGACCTTTTCATGGCTACATTCTCACTACTACTACTACTACTATGCACCTCTCCTTCCGACAGTATTTAAGTCTCCGCACTGTCGCTTGATCTTCAGATAGTTCCTGAAATATGGAACTGAACTCTCCAGGCTGAGGGGCTGACAACCTCAAATTCTAACGACTTCAAGGGTGATGGAAATGATTACATCGTCTTCACATCTCTACTGTTCCTGCCTACTTTCTGTATTCGACTGAAGAAGCCTACTGTGTAGGCGAAACGTTTCGGAATAAAGTTGCCTAACTGTTGCCTTTGTGTCTTACCTACCAACCTGTCGGTATTTTAAAACCATTTTGATGTTCATCTTGTCAGACACTGCAACACATGGGCCCCTTGGTACAGAAAACACCTTGGACAACCCTTCAAGTGAGAACTGTTGAATCTGAGAGGGACCTGACCATCAGTGGCTACATTCTCACTACTACTACTACTACTATTGCACCTCTCTTCCGACAGTATTTAAGTCTCCGCACTGTCGCTTGATCTTCAGATAGTTTCCCGACTATGGAACTGAACTCTCCAGGGTGAGGGACTGACAACCTCAATTCTACGACTTCAAGGGGGATGGACTGATTACATCGACTTCACATCTCTACTGTTCCTGCCTAATTTCCCGTATTCGACTGAAGAAGCCTACTGTGTAGGCGAAACGTTTCGGAATAAAGTTGCCTAACTGTTGCCTTTGTGTCTTACTTACCAACCTGTCGGGATTTTATACCATTTTGATGTTCACAGTAGTAGTAGTAATTGAAAATAAGGAGTGAGGTTAGAGAGGACCTGCTGGCATCAATAACACCAGTTCCAGGGTGGTAAATCCTCTTGCTAGTAATTGAAATATGTAACTACCGGATTTTGTTTTATAGTGTTACTGACAGAATTAGTGCAGCTCAATGCTTTTCCTCCGTCTTAAGTCTCCTCTTTACTAGTTTAGCTTCATGAATTTCATGAGGTGTCCAACTCCTCTATGTTTGAACACAAAGCGTTTTGCGGTCATCATTTCGCAAGCATTTTTGGGTTTGCTATTCTAATGTCCAAGTTCCCGGCTGTTTCCCCTACATATTCTTGTCACCCCCCACATGGTATAGTGTAGATTCCTGCACTTGTGCCAGAATCATGCTGGGTTTTTGTATCAGGGTTCCTAATAGTAGTTGAAGAGCTGTAAATATTTTAGCCAGTTTTTGCAAACATTTTGAAACATTTGTGGCAACGTTTCTGACCGGTAAAACGATGTAACTTGGAGGCTTTTCTTCAATTGATGGTTTTTGGCTTCTGAGGATACGTTTGCACTTTCCCGCAGTCAAGTAAGAAGTTAGGGGAAGGTTTGTGAACTAAAAGAGTTTGTGATGAGAATTCTTCTTCGAGGAAATGCGACTGGAAATTCTGTAGGCTCCAGAAAGAACCAATAACTACCCTCTTTTAGTTCTTTTTCATGGTGAGAGAAGAAATGTAGAAAACATTTTTGTAGGAGGCTTCCGGTGACTTTTAAAGAAAGTTTGCTTTCCCCTGTGCTAAGAGAACTTCGAGAAAAGGTAACTGGTGTCCTTTCCCCCTCTAGGTAAATTTAAAGTAGTTCCAGATTGTTGATGTTTGGGATCCTGTACGTCAGATTTTGGGACAATGACCAAAATTCATCTACGTACCGGCATCCAAGTAACTGAACGAGGATGTTTTGGTTCCTTCTTATTCCAGGTCCTCCAAATAAATTGCAAGAAACTGCACCCATATATTTGTGTTTCTTTGTTTTCCTGTATTGGCTGAAGAAGCACTCGTGGCGAAACGTTTCCTTTAATAAATGTCCTGAACTGTACATAAGTTCTTTTTCCACATCTTGCGGATCACCATACCATTTCCCTCACTGACAAGCATAATCCAAAGAGCCTCACTGTGTGTTTGAGCGGGAAAATAATTTTGGACTTCTGTTACTTAATTCTTGAGTAAATCCAAGAATCGTTTCCTTTTTGCGCACACTGAGGCAACGCTGTTTGGGTTTAGATTTCTTTTTACCATGACTCCCAAGTCTTTTCACATTTGTAGACCAAGCTCACTTCACCTAGATTATAGATTTGAGGGTTTTTTCATTACCATTTTCAGACCAAGACTTAATTTGTTCAAACGTCCTGGAGTCATTGTATCCTCCTCAGAGTGAATTATAGGGCTATCTTTGTATCATCAGCAAACAACTCATGTCCTAGAATCCCCCCATCAAGGTCATTTAAAGTAAATTTATGAACAAGAGAGGGCCTAAACTGATCCCGTGGAACGCCACTAGTGCTAATCCCCATTCAGATTTACTCCATTAATGGTAATCTCCTTTCTAGGTAACCATGCCTCAATCCATGCTAGAAAATTTACTCCATACCATGCTGCCACTTTTCTAAGAGTCTTTGTGAGGGACTCTGTCGAAGGCTTTACTAAAATCCAATAAACAATATCATATTCCTTATCACTGTCAACTGCCCAAATTTCTATTAAGAACGTCAGTAATTTTAGGCAGGAACGACTCTCGTGAATCCATGTGGATTTCATTTATAAAGTTATGCTCTTAAAGGTGACTTTGATATGTCAGCTATAATTGTTTTTAAAAAATTGCCCATATAGATGTCAGGCTTTTTGGACGGTAATTTGAAGGGTGGATTACCCCCTGATTTGAAATAGGAACCATTTTACCCACTTCCACATCTCTGGCACCCCCTGGAAGGTGGACGCATTGAAAACACCGTTAATGGTGATAAATCCATCTTGCCCTTCTTAAGTACCCGAAAAAAATCATCGGGTCCCGGGGACTTTTTTTTGTTTCAGTTTGTTATCTGTTTAATACCATGTCCCTCGTGCAGAATATTTGTTAACTTAAAATTTATCAGGAACTAAATAATTGTTTAAAACGGAATCTATTTACATCTTCCCCTGTAAAAAACTGACAAAAAAAAGTCATTAAATAAGGAAACATTTCCCGTTCATTTTCCGTCAGCGTCCATTCCCGATTTCAGAGGGCCTACTTTTTCCCTTTCCCCTTCGCCTATCACTTGAAAAACCCCCCTTTGGGTTAGTCTTTGATTATTAGCAACTTAATTTCATGCCGTTTGCCTTTTTTAATCGCCTTTTTTACTTCTCTTTTAAGCTGAACATATTTGGGCAGTAAGGTTAAACCCCTCCTCTTCGTGCGCCCATAAATTCCCCTTTTCCCCCCTAATAGATGTTTAGCTCCCGTTTAAACCCATTTGGGATCGTTATTTTAGACCAATTTTTCTCTGGGGAATGTAATACTCGGGCCCCTGTGTACATTATTAAAAAAACAATAAAAACAGATCCCTTATTTTAAGTATGATTTCGTCAAAAAATCATTAGCTGATAACCCCCCTCAAGATTAAAAAATGTTTCCCCAGTCCATTAAATCGGCAGAACGAAAATCGGGATTTTTTACTGTTTATCATTTTTTGCTTTCCCAATTAATGCTAAAGGTGATGGATTTGTGATCACTTGCGCCAACTTTTTCGTATCTCCAGATTTTTTCAGAGTTTTTCCCTTTTTTTTGAAAAGACTGGGTCTAGCAAATTATTCCCGGGTGGGTTCAGTTACACCTGTTTCAGAAAACATCCTAAATGTTTCCAGAATCACTGGACTCTAGATTAGAAAAAGAATTCCATTAAATTTTGGGCCAAAAGTTAAAGCCCCCTACTATGGACTACGTTACTGTGTCCAGAAGCCCTAACAATTTCGTCCCAAAGAAGTCTCCCTCTATCGTGATCCAAGCCTGGAGGTCGGTATATTACACCAAGAATTAGTTTTTCTGACCCTCCACGAACTCTACCCAAACAGACTCCGTTACTGCTCCATCTATTTTTATACCTGTTTTTTATGCAACAATTAATATTTTCTCGAACATACAATGCAACTCCTCCCCCTTCCCATTACATCTATCCACATAATAACTTAAATCCTGAATATTACATTCAGCAGTCATATCCCGACTCTTTAAATCATACACGTTTCAGTTAAATGCAATGATATCAAAGTTCCCAGCACATGCTACCAAACGTAGTTCATTAATTTTATTTCTTGCACTTCGACTGTTAGCATAAAATACCATCATATGTTTTTTCTTCTGCACATTTTTCCTATTCATCTTTGTTTTTCACACAATTTCTGAAATTATCATTACCAGAGTTACTCCATGACAGTTACTATTAAGATTCTTAATATCAGAGCATAAGTCAACATATCCATACTCATTATTAATCATTTCTAAACCCATACCTCTAACTAATCCTAGTTTAAAGTCCTAACAACCCCCTCAACTGAGTTAGCAAGAAAACCCACACCTGCCCTGGATAAGTGAACCCCATCCCTGGCATACATGTCATTTGGCCATAAAGGGTTTCCCCCGTTGTCAATGAATGGACTGTTTTCCCTTTAAACAGTGTTTATCCACCAAAATTTATACCAATTGCTCTGGAAACCATTCATTACAAACCTCTTCTTGGCAAAATGCCACATAAAACAGGGCCCCCCCCCCTTCTTCCTAATCTGCTAACGTCCTGAACTTTCAACAAAACCTCACTTTCGCTTGCTACATCATTGCCTCCGACTGAAAAATAATAGGATTACCCATTACCGTTCATGATGTTGTCAAGGCCGGCTAAAAAATGTCCTCCATCCCAGCCCCAGGAAAACTTACCCTTTGTCTCCCCTCTTGTCCTTCAAGTAGAATTGGGCCCTAATGATTAAATGGCTATCCCCCAAAACCAATTTCTTACCTTCCTTTTTGTGGTTTCGTCGGGGGCGATCCCAGTAAATAGACTCACATTCGAGGGTACACCGAGAATGCGTTGGAGGGTTTTCCCCGGGGGTTTCCCCCAGCAGTCTCTTTTTCTTCATTGTTTCTGGCTTTTTCCCTTCGTCTTTTTGATCGTCACATTGTCCCCCGGTCCAGCACTGACCACGATCCCTTCTTGACCTGAGGACTCGAAACAGGAGGACTATACGAATCCCCTTGTTTTCCCGGGCAACGCCCTTCTTCATCTTTTGTGCCCCCAATTTTCCTTAGTTGTGGGGAAAGTTGCTCGTGGAGGGTCTTGGGTTTAGTCACGGGAGAAACAAACCTTTTTCCAGGGTTTAAGTTAGGTCAGCATCAAAATACAGGGCACCACCAAGAGACACAAAAAGGTCTCCAGAGTAAGTACACTCACACTGAAAATATCCTCCCATTGCATTTCCCTTTCGTATCTAGGGTCCAAAATTCGCACCTCCATTTGCTTTTCCCTAATATTTCCGGATCTCTCGAGGCCCGTAGCATCTTTACAGATAAATGTCTCCTTCCCTTTCCCTTTAGTCCCCCTCCCCGGTTTTCCCCCGTCCCAATGGTATGCCATTTTACTCCTTTTCTTTTCCCGGGCCTCCTGGTTTTGTGATAGAAACCCCGATGGCCCCTTTTTTCTTCCCCCTTTTTTGATCCACTCACTGGTTGCTGATGTTCCTGTTCCTGATGTCATGCCTGTTCTGCTCTTTAGCTCTATATCGTGTTTCTCTTGCCCTGTCTCCTAGCTTCAGCAGCTGTGAATTGTAACTTTTAACTCTTGCCCTGTGCATCCATCCTCTCCTCCATTTTATTGTTAAACTCATCTAGCTTTCTTTCCTACTTTTGTCCCCTTTTCCTGAGCTCTGCTGTCCATTGTTCCTTCATCAATCTTCCTCGGTTCCCCTGACTCTTTGTCCTGCACTCTGGGATCCCATTTTTGACACTAGTTACCATGAAATGTAAAGCTTGTGTACTTGTGTGTGTGTTGTGTGTGTGTGTGTGTGTGTGTGTGTGTGTGTGTGAGTAACTCGTTGCAGCTGCTCTGTCCTCTCACTAACATCATCACTCCTCTGATAAGCTTCTGGAGGGACTGCCTCACCCCTACGCCATCACCGTCTTCGAGGATTATCTCTATTGGACAGACTGGCACACCCGTTCCATCCACACGGCCAACAAGAGAACAGGGAAAGGTCACACAGAGATCCACAAGAAGCTTGCCTTTCCAATGGATATCCACAGGTGGGTTGTTAAGTGATTCGTCAGAGCGTTAGTCTACTCTATAGTATATCAGCCTGTGTATATCGCTTCACTAGTTCGTCGTCTGTTTTAATTTGCGAGACATGAGGGCGTATTGCTGACACACATCCAACTCGCCACAGTTATCGATGCCTAAAACCTGACCCAAAATTGAATTTAACGATTCGAAGTGCTTCTCTGCACTCAGGTGACCATGTGTGTGTCTCTCCACAGCTTACACAGGGAGAGGCAGCCACTGCCGCTGGTGTCAGAGCGTCGTGGCTGTAGTCTCAAGAACGGTGGGTGTTCTCACCTGTGTTTACCTAGCCACCACACCTTCGCTTGTTACTGCCCTCACGGCTTGCTTCTCCTCGACGATGAAAGGTAATATTTCTCTCCCTGTCTCTTCCACTGTCTCTGTCTCTGTCTCTCTCTCTGTCTCTCTCTCTGTCTCTCTCTCTGTCTCTCTCTCTGTCTCTCTCTGTCTCTCTCTCTCTCTCTCTCTCTCTCCTCTCTCTCTCTCTCTCTCTCTCTCTCTCTCTCTCTCTCTCTCCTCTCTCTCCTCTCTCTCTCTCTCCTCTCTCTCTCTCTCTCTCTCTTCGTCTCTCGTTCTCTCTTCTCTCTCTCTCTCTCTCTCTCTCTCTCTCTCTCTCTCTCTCTCTCTCTCTCTCTCTCTCTCTCTCTCTCTCTCTCTCTCTCTCTCTCCCTCCGTTTCTCTGTAGGTTTAAATATAAATAATGTAAATTTTAAGAACTTAAGAAAGGAGAACACTGCATAAGATAATAAACTGTGCACGATTAGGGTCACAAGTGACATGGTCCTTAAGCAAATAGATAAATTAAAACCTAACAAATCCCCAGGCCCTGATGAACTGTATGCAAGGGTTCTAAAGGAATGTAAAGAGGAACTTAGCAAACCTTTGGCTAATCTTTTCAACATATCACTACAAACTGGCATGGTGCCAGATAAGTGGAAAATGGCAAATGTGATACCTATTTTCAAAGCAGGTGACAGGTCCTTAGCTTCGAACTATAGACCAATAAGCCTAACCTCCATAGTGGGAAAATTTATGGAATCAATAATTGCCGAGGCAGTTCGTAGCCACCTTGAAAAGCATAAATTAATCAACGAATCTCAGCATGGTTTTACAAAGGGGCGTTCCTGCCTTACGAATTTGTTAACTTTTTTCACTAAGGTATTTGAGGAGGTAGATCATGGTAATGAATATGATATTGTGTATATGGACTTCAGTAAGGCTTTTGACAGGGTCCCACATCAGAGACTATTGAGGAAAATTAAAGCACATGGAATAGGAGGAGAAATTTTTTCCTGGATAGAGGCATGGTTGACAAATAGGCAGCAGAGAGTTTGCATAAATGGGGAGAAATCAGAGTGGGGAAGAGTCACGAGCGGTGTTCCACAGGGTCAGTGTTGGGCCCCCCGCTGTTTTACAATAAACATAAACGACATAGATGAGGCATAAAGAGCGACATCAGCAAGTTTGCCGATGACACCAAAATAGGCCCTCGAATTTTTATTTTGACGAGGGCATTAGAGCACTCCAGGAAGAATTTTAGTAACTGAAAGCAGTGGGCGGAGAGGTGGCAGATGCAGTTTAATAAAGACAAAAGCAAAGTTCTAAATGTTGGACAGGAACAATAACCATGCCACATATAAACAAATAAAATTTGATCTTAATAATTTCGGATTGCGAAAAAAATTTTGGGGTTTTGGGTTTGCGTAAATCGAAAACCAAAACAACAGTGGGAAAAAGTGTCGCAATAAAACTAATAGAATCCTTGGCTTTATATCAAGGGAAGGGATAAAAAAAAAGGAAATCCTCAGGTTTTTCTTTAACCTATACATCCTTTTTAGGCCTCATTTTGATTATGCTGCCATTTTTGGCCCCGTATTAAAAGAAGGGAAAAAAATGCTCTGGAAAAATTTACAAAGGAGGATGACAAAGTTGATCCCTGTATCATAAAAACCTTTCCCAAAGAGGAAGCTAAGGGGCCCCGAATCTTTTAATCTCTAGAAAAAACATAGAATTAGGGGGAAAATGGGTTGAGGGTAAAAAATGGAAAAACAAAGGAAAAAATAAAAGGGGAAAGTAAAAAAGGGGTGCTGAAAAATCTACCTAGACAGGACCTTTCCGGGCAAAAGGTTTTAAGTGAAAAATTCAGATTCAGGAAGGGAATTTTAGGGAAAATTCCCGGGGTTTGGGAATAGAGTTGTGGATGAGTGGGGAAAAAACCCCAATAAAATTTTAGAGGCCCGAACTTGGTATTTTAAAAAAAAGGTTGGAAAAAATACATGAGTGGGTGTGGGGGGGGGTGAATTGACCCGAAAACTTGTGCTAAACCCCGGCGGTTTTCCGTGTTTCCCTCCCTTAAATCAAGTGGGCCTGACCTGACCAAGGGTTTGGGGGCATTGGGGTTAAGCCCGGGAGGAGGAAATTGGACCTCCCGCAAAGGGCCAGAGGGCCCTGCAGTGTTTTTCCTTTGTTTTATTGTTTTTTATGTTCTTATAAGGCCTACTGGCCGAACTAGGCCAGGCCCCTTTTCGGACCCAAACCCACAAAAAACCCATGTGCCCAAACCCATATTCAATGCTACCTAAATTTCTTTTAAATTGAAGGGAACGTAAAATTTAAAGAAGCAAGTTCAAGAATTTTTTCTAACAAAAAATTTTTTAACCCTAGATCTGCAAAACATAATGTTTTGTTATTAAATTTTAAAGTATGATATGCATAATTTCCTTTAAGGGAAAAACCCCTGTTCTCCGGGTCATTTTGTTTTGGGGTATGACTGGGTTTTTGATGCTGGGTTTTTGATGGGGGTTTGGGGTTATGATGCTGGGGTTTTGGGGGGAAATGCTGGGTTATGAGGGTGGGATTATGATTTGGGGTTTTGTGGGGGTTATGATCTGGGTTAATTTAAAGCTGGGGGATTTCTGGGTTATGATGGGGGTTTTGATGCTGGGTTTTGATGCCGGGGTTTTGAGCCCGGGGTTATATCTGGGTTATGGCTGGGTTATGGCTGGGTTATTATGGGGGGTTATGAGGGGTGGTTATGGGTCGGGTTATATGCTGGGTTTTTGATGCTGGGTTTTGGGGGGGATGAGGGATTTTGGGTCTGGTTTTTGATGCTGGGTTAAAGAAAGCGGTTAGGGTGCTGGTTAGAAGCTGGGTTTTTATGCGGGGGGATGATCTTTTGGTGGGGGTTTTGGGTGCTGGTTTGAAAGCTGGGTTAAAGAAGCGGGTTATGGGTGCGGGTTAAGAACCCGGGTTTTGATTCTGGGTATGGTCTGGGAAAATGAAGCGGGTTTTTGGGTGCTGGGTTTTAAGCTGGGGTATGATGCGGGGGTTTTGGTTTCGGGTTATGATGCGGGTTTTTGGTGCGGGGGTTTTGATGCCCGGGGTTTTGATGGGGGTTTTGAAAGCGGGTTTTTAACTGGGGGATTAGCTGGGTTTTGTGCTGGGTTAGGGGGGGTGGGTTTTGGTGCTGGGTTAAAAAGCGGGGTTATATGCTGGGTTTAAAGATCTGGGTTTTTTTATGCGGGTTATGGTGCTGGTTTTTGGTGCGGGGGGGTTATGATGCTGGGGTTTTGAAAGCGGGTTATTCTGGGTTTAAAATGGGTGGGTTTTTGATGCGGGGTTTTTGAAAACTGGGGGGTTGGGTGCTGGTTTATTTGCGGTTTTTATGATTGGGGGTTATGATGCGGGGTTTTTGAAGCGGGTTATGATGCGGGGGTTTTGATGCCCGGGGTTTTTGGTGCGGGTTTTGGTGCGGGGTTTTGTGCTTGGGGTTTTGATCTGGGGTTTTGATCGGTTATGATGCTGGGTTTTTGATGCCCGGGGGAAAGGCCCGGGGGTTAAAGATGCGGGTTATGATCTTGGGGTTTTGATCTTGGGGTTTTGAAAACCCGGGTTATTTATTCTGGGTTTTAAAGATGCGGGGTTTGATGCTGGGTTTTTGGGGGAAGTGGGTTATGGTGGGTGGTTATGATGCTGGGTTTTTTGATGCTGGGTTAAAGAAGCGGGGTTTTTTGGAAAGCTTTGGGTTTGTTCTGGGTTTTTGATCTGGGTTATGATTCTGGGTTTTTTGATCCCGGGGGGTTTTGATCTTGGGGTTTTATGCTGGGTTTTTGATGCGGGGTTTTAAAAACGGGTTATGAAAGCGGGTTTTATGGGATGTGGGTTTTGATGGGTGGGTTTTGAAACTGGGGTTTATGGGGAAAGCAGGGTTATGATGCTGGGGGGTTAGGGTTTTGAAGCCCGGGGATAAGCTTTAGGGGTTATGAATGCGGGGTTTAAGAGCTGGGGTTTATCTGGGTTTGTATGGTTTTCTGGGTTATGAGCTGGGTTTTTTGAAAACTGGGTATTTGCTGGGTTTGGGTAAAAGGGGTTTTGATCTGGGTTTTAAACCCCGGGGTTTTGAAGGGGTTTTAAAAAAATGGGTTTTTGTTTAGGTTAAAGATGCGGTTAATGATCCTGGGTTATGATCCGGGTTTTTATCTGGGGGGATGATTCTGGTAAAGAAACTGGGTTATGAACTGGGTTTTGGAAATGGGGTTTTTATGCGGGTTATGATGCGGGTATGATGCTGGGTTTTGATCTGGGTTTTATCTGGGTTTTGGGGCTGGGATAATTTGGGAGGGGCGGGTTATTTATCGGGTTATTTATCTGGGTTTTGATGCTGGGGGTTTTGAAGGGGGGTTAATTTTCTTGGGGTTTTGAAGGGGGGTTTTGGATGCTTGGGAAAGGGTGGGTTTTTAAAGCTGGGTTAATTTTTTAAGCCCGGGGGGGAAAAGATTCTTTGGTTTTTGATGCTTTTGGGGTTTAAAAGGCTTTGGGGTTTTGATGCTGGGGTTTTGATCTGGGTTTATGATTTCTGGGTTTAATGGAAAGTTTGGGATTAGGGGTGCTGGGGTTTTAAAGCCCGGGTTTTTTGATCCGGGGGTTTTTAATGATGCTGGGTTATGATCTGGGTTATGATGGGGGGTTATGGTTTCTGGGTTAAAGATCTGGTTTTGACTGGGAATTTTATGTGCTGGGTTTGATGCTGGGTTATGATGCGGGGTTTTGAATTTCTGGGGGTTTTGAGGGTTTTGGGTTTATGAGCTGGGTTTTTGGGTGCGGGTTATTTTTATGGCCCGGTTTTTGATGCTGGTTTATGGTTAGGATTATGATCTGGGTTAAAGATGGGGTGGGGTTTTATTGGGGAACCGGGTTTTTGATGCTGGGGTTTTTGATCTGGGTTTTGGGCCCGGGTTAAAAATGCGGGGTTATGGTCTTGGGGTTTAACCATGGTTTGGGGTTTTGGGTGCTGGGTTTTTTGAAAACTGGGGTTTTGAGGGTGGGTTATGGGTTTTTAAATTTTTTATATGCTGGGTTTAAAGATACTTTGGGTTTTGATCGGGGTTTTAAAAAATGGGGTTTTTAAACTGGGTTATGATCTTGGGGTTTTGGGTACTGGGTTATAAACCCGGGGTTTAAAATAAATGGGTTATTAAAATTTGGTTTTTGAAAGGGTGGGTTAGGGTCCCGGGTTTCCCGGAAAGCTTTGGGTTATGGGGGATTGGCTTTAAAGCTGGTTTTTGGACTGGGGGATGATGTTTGGGTTAAAGAAGGGGTTATGGACTGGGGATGAGCGGGTTATGATGCTGGTTTTTGGGAAAAGGGGGTTAAAGGCAAATGGGGTTTTGATCTGGGTTTTTGATGCTGGGGTTTTGGGGTACTGGGTTTTTGGCACTGGGGATTTATGCTGGGTTAAGATATGGTTATGGCACTGGGGTTTTGGGTCGGGTTAGATGCTGGGTTAAGGGTACTGGGTTATGGCACTGGGTTTTTTGGGTTTTGGTTTTTTAAATGGGTTAAACGGGTTTAAAATTCTTTATAAAAAGGGAAAACCCCGGGGTTAAAATCTGGGGGAAAAACTTTAAATCCCTTTTTAAGGGGTTTTGAACCCTTTGGTCCCTCCCATTTATTTAAAGCATTATATCTGGGTTAAAGAATACTTGGGGGGAAACACAGGGTTTTTGAAAAGCGGGAATTTTTAATCTGGGGTTTTTTTTGGGTTAGTAACTGGGGTTTAAATTTATAATTTTTTAAAACTTTGGGGAAAATATTTAAATTGGAAAAAAATGGGGGTAAAAACCACCCTTTTTGGAAGGGGAAAAGTGCTTGGGAAAATATATTTTATTTAAAGGGGGTTTTAAAAAATTTTAATATGTGGGGGTTTTGATATGGGTTTAATTTAAATTTGGGTTTTAATTCTTTTATTATGGGGGTTAAAATGCCCGGGAAGATAAGGGGGTTATGGATGGGTTTAAAAACGGTTTATGGTGTGGGGTTAAAGTTACGGGGGGAGGCATTTGGGTGTTTTGAGGGGTGGGGTTTAAAATAATGGGTTTGATTTGGGTTTTTGGGGGAAACGGGTTAAAAGGGCCAACTGGGGGGTTTTTTGGGTTTACGGAGGGAAAGGTGGGTTAAAGGGGCGGTTGATTAAGGGTTTAAAGGATGGGAAGGAAGGGGGGTTTTTGGGGGGCCCCGGGGTTTGGAAGGGGGGGGGAAAAGGGTTTTGTTTTCGGGTTTGGGTTACGGGTTTGAAGCGGGTTTGATAGGGTTAAAGGGCAATGGTTTTAAAACTTTGGGGGCTGTTGGGTTTAAGGGAAAAAATTTTTTGAAGGGGTTTTCAGGGAAACGGCAGGCCGGACTTGAGTCCTGGAGATGGGAAGTACAGTGCCTGCACTCTGAAGGAGGGGTGTTAATGTTGCAGTTTAAAAACTGTAGTGTAAAGCACCCTTCTGGCAAGACAGTGATGGAGTGAATGATGGTGAAAGTTTTTCTTTTTTCGGGCCACCCTGCCTTGGTGGGAATCGGCCAGTGTGATAATAAAAAAAGTAATAATAATAATATCCTGGCTCATACTAGGCACATCCTTCTCAAACCCACTACATTTCCACATTTCTTCTATAAAATCAGTGTAAAGACACACAAAATTCTGTATCGTTCTCAGTTATGTCTTGTCGAGTTATTTTGTAAACAGTAAGATGGGGAAGAGACGTCTATGTATGTAGCTCAGGACATTAGAGGATACGTTTCGCCCCGAGTGGCTTCTTCAGTCCTAGGGAGTGACTAAGCCACTCGGGGCGAAACGTTTTCTATAATGTCCTGAACTGTATACATATAAGTGTTTTTCACACATTTTTGTCGGTATCAACATACTGATGTTCTGAGGTCAGTGAGAACTGACCTGAGAACAACACTACGGTAAATGTGGCCATGTGTAAGCCAGAGACGGGGGAAACGGTAACTAATATCCAATATATTATTATTAATTTTTATTATTTTTATTATTATTATTATTATTAAATTATTATTATTATTATCATTATTATTATTATTATTATTATTATTATTATTATTATTATTATTATTATTATTATTATTAATTATCATTATCATTATTATTATTATTATTATCTTATTATTATTATTATTATTATTATTTTATTATTATTATTTTTATCATCATCATCATCACCATCATCATCATCATCATCATCATCATCATCATCATCATCACCATCATCATCATCATCATCATCATCATCACCATCATCATCATCACCATCATCATCATCATCATCATCATCATCATCATCATCATCATCATCATCATCATTATTATTATTATTATTATTATTATGGTTCTTGTTTTGTTGCATTCATGGGGTAAGGGGCTAAGGCTAAACCCGTTGGGGTCATTTAGAGCCTTGGTAAATGGGAAGCGATCAGATTCGAACTGAAGGTCACTCCAGCTGTTGACCAGAGAGAAAACTCAGGATTTGATTATCAGACTTGTCCAGGTTTTTTTTTTTTTATTAAGCATTTTGCTTATAACATCGCTAACGTGAATATATTTTACACAATAAATATCCTGATTTTTATGTAAAAATGATTAGGCGCTGAAAGATACAGTTTACAAGCAGTAATATATTCCAGCTCCAAGCGTGATCGTGACCTTATATATCAACATGTTAGAGACACTACCAGAGCGAGAGAGGGGAGAGAGAGAGAGAGAGAGAGAGAGAGAGAGAGAGAGAGAGAGAGAGAGAGAGAGAGAGAGAGAGAGAGAGAGAGAGAGAGAGAGAGAGAGAGATGATCATGATGATGACCTTGGCTGAGATATCACTGTGGTAGTTAAGACGATACTCGGGAAATGTTAGGTTATGTTAGAATAGGCCAAACAAGGAAAGATTACGTAGAAGATCTAATGACTAGAAGCCAAACAGGAGTTTACAATAGCCAGTAAGAAATATTTTCCTCACAGAACGTGCAGTGAGCGGCCAGATCGCGCCCTGGTATTTGCTCAGAGGAACAACCTGCGGATGATCTCGCTGGACGGGACGCTGGAAGGAAGCACTTCGGCAGATGTGGAAAGCATGGACCAGCCCAGGATGGACACGGTGGTACCTGTCGACGGCGTCAAATCAGCAGTAGCCCTCGATTTCTACACTGAAGATGACCTGGTCTACTGGACAGACATAGGTTTTAAGAGTATTAACCGGGCGCACCTCAATGGATCAGGACAGACCATAGTGGTCAGAAACAATCTAGGTAAGATTTTATTTTTTCTCTCTCAACTTTATTAAATTACTGGCTTTGAAAAATAAACAACACCTTGTTTGAAAACCCCACTCTGTTAAAAATGGCAAAAAATACTGAGAATTTGAAGATAAGGACACCTAACTAATCCACATGTCTCTCAATCCCACTCTCTGCAAGACATTTTTTTTAAATCAGGCAATAAGGTAACTAAAGTTAATTCGGCGTGTTGAAAAAGACACGTACAGTTTAGAATATTAATTAAAGAAAGCGAACACAAGTGTCATTTTTCCACATCTTGTCCGTATCGCCATTCCATTTCTCACTTATTCTGTGTGAGCAGAGCTGCCTGGAGGAGTGGCGGTAGACTGGGTGACCAAGAAGCTTTACTGGACTGATGCTGGCACCAAGCGTATCGAAGTCTCCAACCTGGACGGCACCATGCGCTCACTTCTCATTTGGCAAGGACTTGACAAGCCCAGGGACATTGTAGTTGACCCCCAGGGTGAGTATAAGGTGTAGGGAAGGGGAGGTGTGTCGTAAGTATCCAGAAGTGGGTCGATGGTATATAGAGGTGGGTCGTGGGAACCGAGAAGTAGGCAGGAGGTGGGTTATAGATATCCAGAGATGGGCGGGAAGTGGGTCATGGATATAAAGAAATGGGCAGGAGCTGGGTCATGGGTATTCAGAGGTAGGTAGTAGGTGGGTCATGGATAATCCAGAGGTGGGCAGGAGCTCGGTCATGGGTATCCATAGGTGGGCAGTAGGTGGGTCATTGATATTCAGAGGTGGGCAGTAGGTGGGTCATTGATATCCAAAGGTGGGCAGGTTGTGGGTCGTGGGTATCCAGAGATGTGCCGGGGCTGGGTCATGGGTATCCAGAGGTATGCAGTAGGTGGGTTATGGATATCCGGAGATGGGTAGGTTGTGGGTCGTGGGTATCCAGAGATGGGCAGGGGCTGGGTCATGGGAATCCAGAGGTATGCAGTAGGTGAGTTACGGATATCCAGAGGTGGGCATGTTGTGGGTCGTGGGTATCCAGAGATGGGCAGGAGCTGGTTCATAGGTATCCAGAGGTGGGCAGTAGGTTGGTCATGCATATCCAGAGGTGGGCATGTTGGGGGTCGTGGGTATCCAGAGATGGGCAGGAGCTGGGTCATAGGTATCCAGAGATAGGCAGTAGGTGGGTCATGGATATCCAGAGCTGGGCATGTTGTGGGTCGTGGGTGCCCAGAGATGGGCAGGAGGGCCTCGTCAGTCCAGTTGGCCATAACATTTTTGCAATAATATTACTACTACTTCTACTACTATTACTTCTACTACTACTACTACTGCTACAACTTCTACTTCTATTACTTCTACTACTACTACTACTGCTACAACTTCTACTTCTATTACTTCTACTACTACTACTGCTGATACTACTACTACTACTACTACTACTACTACTACTTCTACTGCTATTACTTCTACTACTACTACTTCTACTTCTATTGCTTCTACTACTACTACTACTACCACTTCTTCTTCTATTACTTCTACTACTACTACTACTACTACTACTACTACTACTACTTCTTCTTCTTCTACTGCTATTACTTCTACTACTACTACTACTACCACTTCTACTTCTATTACTTCTACTACTACTACTACTACTACTACTACTACTACTACTTCTTCTTCTACTGCTAATACTTCTACTACTACAACAATACTTCTACTACGACTACTAATACTTCTACTACACTACTAATACTTCTACTACAACTACGAATATACTTTCCTACTACTAACTCAACAAATACTTCTACTACTACTACTATACTCTACGACTACAACAAATACATCTTACTACTACTACAAAAACTACTACTAACTAATATAATACTTCTACTACTACACTAATACTTCTACTACTACTACTAATACTTCTACTACTACACTAATACTTCTACTACTACTACTAATACTTCTACTACAACTACTACAATACTTTCTACACTCACTAATATCAACTACTACTACTAATACTTCACTACTACTAAGATTTCCTACTACTAACTACTAATCTTCTTCTACTACGACTAATACTTTCAACTACTACACAAATACTTTCTACTACTACTACTAATACATCTACTACACTACTAATACTTCTACTACTACTACTAAAAACTTCTACTACTACTAATATTCTACTACTACAACTAAAACTTCTCTACTACTATTTTTTTTACATTACTCTACTACTACTACTAAACTTCGACTACACTACTAATACTTCTAACTAAAATACTAATACTTCTACTACTACACTAATACTTCTACTACTAACTAAATTTCTACTACACTACTAATACATCTACTACTACTACTAAACTTCTATACTACTACTACTAATACTTCTACTACTACTACTAATTACTATACTACTACTACTAATACTCACTACTACACTATACTTCTACTAATACTACAATTCTTCTTCTACTACTACTAAACTCTAATACTAGAGACTAATACTTTCTACTACTACTACAAATTACTTCCACTACACTACTAAACTTCTACTACTACTACTAATACTTCTATTCTACTACTACTAATACTTTCTACAACATACTAACTAATACTTCTACTACTATACTACAAATACTTCAACTACACTACTAATACTTCTACTACTACTACTATACCTTCACTACTACTACAAATTACTCTACTACTACTACTATACTTCTACTACTACTACCAAACTTCTTACTACTTACTACTAATACTTCTACTACTACTACAAAAACTTCTACTACTACTACTAATACTTCTACTACTACTACTAATACTTCTACTACTACTACTAATACTTCTACTACTACTACTAATACTACTACTACTACTACTAATACTTCTACTACTACTACTAATACTTCTACTACTACTACTAATACTTCTACTACTACTACTACTACTAATACTTCTACTACTACTACTAATACTTCTACTACTACTACTAATACTTCTACTACTACTACTAATACTTCTACTACTACTACTAATACTTCTACTACTACTAATAATACTTCTACTACTACTACTAAATAACTTCTAACTACTACTAATAATACTTCTACTACTAATACTACTACTAATACCTTCTACTACTACTACTAATACTTTATGTTCTACTACTACTACTACTACAATACTTCTACTACATCTACTAATACTTCAACTACTTACAACTAATAAACTTCTACTACTTACGACTAATACTTCTACTACTACTACTATACTTCTACTACTACTACTAATACTTCCTACACTACTAATATTTCTACTTACTACTACTAATACTCTACTACACTACTAATCTCAACAACTACTACTACTGACTAAACTTCTACTACTACTACTAAAATTTCTACTACTAACTACAATACTTTCTTAGCTACTACTACTAATACTCTACTACTACTACTAATACTTCTACTACACTACTACATATTTTCTACTACTACTACTAATACTTCTAACTACTACTACTAATACTTCTACTACTACTACGAATACTTCTACTACTACTACTAATACTTCTACACACTTATAATACTTCTACTACTACTACTATACTTCTACAACTACTACTAATAACTTCTACTACTACCTACTAATGACTTCAGACTACTACACAAATACTTCTACTACACTACTAATACTTCTACTACACTCTAATACTTCTACTACACTACTAATACTTCTACTACAACTAATTTCTACTACTACTACTAATACCTTCTACTACTACTACTATACTTCTACTACTACTACAATACTTCACTACAAATAACTAATCCTCTACTACTACTACTAATACTCTACTACGACTACTAATACTTCTACTCTACTACTAAAACATCTTACTACTACTACAACTACTAATACTTCTACTACTACATAATACTTCTACTAAACTACTAATACTTCTACTACTACTACTAATACTTCGACAACTACGACCTAATACTTTCTACTAACTACTACAAATACTTCTACTACTACTACTAATACTTCGACTAACATTATCAATACTTCTAACTACTACTACTACTACTAATACTCTACTACTACTACTAATACATCTACTACTACTACTACTACTAATACTTCTACTACACTACTAATACATCAACTAACTACTACTAATACTTCTACTACTACTAAAATACTTCTACTATTACAACAATACATCTACAACTACTACTAATACTCTACTACTACAATATTTCTACTACTAAACTAATCACTCTCTACTACTACAATAATTTCACTACTACTACTACTACTAAATACTTCTACTACACTACTAATATTGTCTACAACTACTGAAATAATACTTCTACTACTACTACTAATACTATCTACTACTACTAACTAATACTTCTACTACCAACTACTAATATTTCTACTACTACACTAATCTTCTAACTACAACTACTAATACTTCAACTACTACTAAATAATACTTTTCTACTACACGACTAATACTTCTACTACACTACTAATACATTCACTACACTACTAATACTTCTACAACTACTACAATACTTCACTACTACAACTAATACTCTACGACTACTACTAATCCATCTAATACTACTACAAATACTCTACTACCAACTACTAATACTTCTACCTACAACTACTAATACTTCTACTACTTCTAATATATTTACTACGAACTACTCACTAATACTGTGTTGTCTACGACTACTACTCATACATCTACTAACTACTACAAATATTCTACTACTACTACTAATACTTCCTACTACTACTACTACTAATACTTTCAACTACTACTATAATACTTCTACTACTACTACTAATACTTCTACTACTACACAAAACTTCTTCTCCTACTACTAATACTTCTACCTACTACTTACTATACTTCTACTACTACTACTAATACTCTACTACTACTACTAATACTCTACTACTACTAAAAATACTTTCTACTACTACTAATATTTCACTACTATACTAATACTTCTACTACTACTATAATACTTCTACACTACTACAAGTACTTCTACTACTACGACTAATACTGCTACTACTACCTAATATTTCTACTACTACTACTAAACTTCTACTACACGAACAATACTCTACTACTACTACTATTACTAATACTTCTACTACTACTACTATATTTCCTACGAAATTATTATTGTATTTTCTACTAATACTTCCTACACTACTACTAATACTTCTACTACTACTACTAATACTTTCTACTACTACTACTACTATTTCTACTACTACTACTTAACTTCTACTACTACTACAATACTTCTACTACTACTACTAATACTTCACTACTACTACTAATACTTCACTACTAATAACTAATCTTCTACTACTACCTACATACTCTACTACTACTCAATACTCTACTACTAACACTAATACTTACTACTACTACTAAATACTTCTACTACTACTACTAATCTTCT